AACCACGTGAAATTTCATGAGAATTCAATATTCAAAGACGTTACCACTAAATGTCACTACCAGTGTTTTAAAAAGGGTATAGTTGTGTTAAAGCTTTTGCTATCTGCAAGTTTGTTCATGATCGTAAAAAAACGTGTGAACAGATAACTTTATTATGTTACTACAGAAATCCTAAAATTAGACGCACAGCTAAAATGGGTCTTACAAGTGTCATTTTTATTTATTTTAGTAAGCAATTTAATTTTGTCTTATTAATCTATATAAATATAATAGTACTGTCTGTTGTCTGTCCATGTACTACATCGCAGGGTGTGGATGGATCTTCACCAAAATTGGTATGGAGGTTCATTGTGTCCATGGCGAGATACATACAAGTTTTCAGTTTTGCATTTTGCGGTTTTATGGGCGCTTTTTACCACTACCTCACCTCCTGTGGATGGATCTTCACCAAATTTGGTATGGAAGTTCATTGTGTCCATGGGAATATACATACAAATTTTCAGTTTTGTGTTTTGCGGTTTTTATGGTCGTTTTTTGCCACTATTTCACCCCCTGTTGATGGATCTTCACCAAATTTGGCATGAATGTTTGTTGAGTCCGTGAGTAAGATGCATGCAAAATTGCGGTTTCACATTTTGTGTTTTGCAGTTTTTATGGGCGTTTTTTACAATTACATATGAAGGAAGCAATGTTTCATGTCCTAAGATAACCTTTCATCAATTATGAATGTACATAACATTCGTCCAGGGGAAGAATACTCTAGGTAGGAAGGAGTAAAATGGGATCACAGAAATATATATGCAATCCCTTTCATGTTATTTCATCTAAAATGAATTGTGTGTAAGGCTGTAAACCTGACGCCGGAAATAACACCAGTTACAACACATTCCACCAGACTGGTATAGATATCGAACTGATCAAACACTATATGAATTTAAAAATATTTCAGATTACTGCTGTTCATAGTTTATGTGTACACACACACACACACACACATATATATTACCACGAGTCGTCGATTAATTCCAGTAACAGTTATACATTTCTTTTTCATAACATTAACATAAAATATCTCCGAAAAAATATATATATACTGAATAGCTGAAAAATAATATTTATACATTTGTATTATTAAAGGAATTAACAACTTGTTTTGTATCTGTAGGTTAGATGTAGTACGAAGAAGATTGAACAAGTTTATCTTGCGCATGCGACACCCCAAGAACTGTTGTACCTTCTCGGTAACTTAAACATTTAGGATGTCAAGGATACTTCAAAATTAACAAGACTGATATTGGGCGGCAGAGGTCACCCGTCATATATGACATGATATTACGATAACTTTTCAAGGTTTCATGCAGGTTTCGAAGCTTGTTAGAAGCTGTTTTTGAAACTTGAAGCAGTGAAGAAAGTATGCAACAGGAAGTACAGAGGTTGAGTACGTTATATTAAAACGATTTTGGAACTCCACCATGTCGTTACAGTACATGCTCTATCTGCCTTGACAATAGCTCTGCATGCAGCTTAGTTTCGATTGCGAAAGGCTCCATCATAATGCTGTCATGTCCCAAGCAAACCACTACTCTCTAAAGAATTTCTACAAGTCATGTAACGTACGACGACGGTTTTCCAGCGCTCGTTTCAACAGTCCGGTATGTATTCGCATGGAATAGCACGACTACCCGTTTCATTCTCCAGCTGATTGAGGTATGCGACGGTTAAACTGATAAGTCGTGGAAGCAACGTACGTGCACGTGACTTATGTCGTTTTTTCAGAACGGAGATCATTCTTGATTACATGTCATACTGTTGCCCGGAGCACATGGACGACTTTTGTCACTGAACTTTAAGTTCGTGGATTCTCACCTGTTACAAGATGCCGCATTTACTCAACATAGTTGAGATAAACCTTTTTTGCAGGTCTCTTTCTGGATGTCCTGGTGTCCTAAGTTGATCCATGTTTCTTTGTTTTCCAGTGCCTTTAAAAATAAAGGACATTCCGTCTTTGAAATTATAAATTTCCCATCTGAACACACTTTATAATCCGAGTGTATGAATATTTTGCGTCGGAAAGAGCTGTCATATATATATACCCTTTTCAAAAGTGATCAATTTTCGGTAGGAGCATATTACCTACGTAACACCAAAAAATGTCAAAATGTTATATCTCGTTCCACCATGGCGTTATATCATCTGTGGTTGTCATGTGATTTGTATATTTGTAATTAAGCACAAAGCTACACAATGGACTGGCTATCTGTGCTCTGCCCACCACGGGTATCGAAACCCGGTTTCTAGCGTTGTAAGTCCGCAGACATACCGCTGTGCCACTAGGGGCTATTTGTATATTCAAAATCGTTTTAATCTAAATTACTCAACCCCCTGTATGCTACAACCAACTATTACAAGATGTACATTCACCGCTTCGTATAGCCATGCCCGAATATACTGTGGTGACGCTATATCTAATACACAAATACTTAAATCAAAACTGCTCTCATATAACAGGTTAATATTGAACCTAGAAAAACTATCATGCCAATACATGCGAGAAATGAAAACACTGACAAAACAAAATAGCCTTATTCGTTTTACATACAAATTTCGCCGAATAACTTGTAACTGATTCCTACTGTACTTATTACCTGCAACTTTTCAGCGTATATGTAATTAAATATAATGTTTTTCTGATTTTCTACTAAATATTATCGATCACTTTCGGAATAACTGTAATCAGATCGACTGGAAGTTGTAAAAACATATTTCCTTTGTAATAATATTTGTTTGATTATTGTTATAATACAACACGCAATATTAGAACAAAAGGTTTGAGCAATTTAAAATAATTCAAGTATTCCAAAATGTTTATACAACGGCAATGTTCACTGGTTAGCCACTTTATTAGGACATATACCTAATAACAGGTTAGGTTACCTTTTGCCCGAATATCAGCCATGATACGACGTGGCATAGAATCCGCAAGGTGTTGGATGGTTTCTTAAGAGGTTTTCCACATTCAGACATTAATACTGTACGCTATTCAAGGAGCGAGGTAGGCAGAAGATAATGATGGTGAATGTGTTTTTAGAGTTAACCCCACAGATGATCAATTGGATTGAGATCCGAGGATTGCGGTGGCCATGAAAGATGCCTTAAGTTTTCCTTCTTGTTCCTCAAACTATGCATGTACAATTTGGACACGGTAGATTGGAACATTGGGATACACATGAAGCACAGCTGAATGCACTTAATAAGAAATAATGCTAAGATAAGCTGTGACATTCATTCTGCCTTATCAAGGGACCAAGGGGTCCAGAGAATGCTCCAAACCATGACTCTACCAACAGAAGAGGAATAGAGTGATTCGCGTGGCTCTCTCCAAAGCTGTTTTCTCCCATCTTTTCAAAAGGGGTAAAATATGACTCGTCGGAACCACATCACTTTTGATCAGTACTCATTCCAATGTCTGCAACCCTTACATTACTCGAGGCGTTTTCTTTCTTGGTTGTAACTGAGCCAATGGTTTATGCAAGGTCTCATACTTTCATAATCCATTCGTTGCAACGTTTTTACGTCTTCACAAGGTACAACTAGCGATGGGTTGTGGCTTGCTCTGCATTGAATGTCGCTGTCAGTTAGTGTATTATTTTTATAACAATTGACCACCTTCCTCCTCTTTTTGTTATTATGTGCTAGCAGACACAATTTCCCTCTGCAGCAGACATTTTATTCACCTTTTGCCATTGCTGAAATGACGAATGAAGCTGTCTTAACCACTGTGGCACCTGAATTATTTTCTCAAGCTACAAATCCCTATTTTGACTCCATTTCTACAGTACTTATCAATTTTAATGGAGTCAGAATAGGGATTTGTAGCTTGAGAAAATAATGCAGGCCTAGTTTGTTTATTTTTTTAGAATTACTAGTTGTAGGCTTGAAAACATAATTTTTCCATTTTGATTCAACTTGTTTCTGCCCTTTTTTTTGACGATCCCTATTTCCCTTTTTAAATTAACAATTTTTAATTATTAATGCCTTCTAGAGTTCAGTAATTAGATTTTAGAATGTGCTTAAGTTTAAATTTTGATTTAATTTGTTTATTAAGCGCAAAGATACACAAAGAGCTATCTGTACTCTTCCCACCGCAAGTACCAAAACTTGATTTTTAGCAAGCCCACAGACTTACCGCTTAGCCACCAGGGGGCGGGTTTTAAGACATTGTTTTCTTTCATAAGTGTTTTTATATTGTTAGGTGATACGGTTGTAAAATATTGTTAATATTTTAAATATTGTTAATTATCATTTTTTGTAATACCTATATAAAAAATTATCTTCACCCTACAGAAAAACAAAACAAAAAGTATCACTTTATTTACTTCTTTTTTTTTTCACATGTAAGGTGATATATCCAAATTGTGACAAACTACTCTAAACGTTTGAGATTAATGAGTTGGTCTTAGACTTGCTTAAAATGAATTATAACTTATCTACAACGTTTTATTCTGTTGAGCTGTTAATAAGTCTATACAAACCCTAATGATTCAAGCCTTAAACACTGGATAGTTCTCACAGATATCTAAACATTAAGAATCCGTGATATCTTCTAAATTTTTCTAAGTGTATAAAAACTTACACATACCCGAACTTTATTTTAACCATATAAGTTACTATATAATATAACAAATGCAGTTCACACTTTTAATTATAGTTCACAGATATTTATAAATTTAGTGAGTTTTAACTCAAAACTATCACCCTCTTCGATATTATTTAGCCTGTAAATCCACATAAACACGATAGCACCTTTTTAATATGTCAAGGGCTCTAGCAACAACTGAATTTCGCATTCAAATATCGTTACTTGCTTCGTTGTGACTCAAAGATCTATTTTAATATACAAATTAAATATGAAATGATTAGATAATTAGTAAAAAAAAATTGATCTAATTGTTTGTTTGTAATTAAGCACAAATCTACACAATGGGCTATCTGTGCCCTGCCCACCACGGGTATCGAAACCCGGATTCTAGCGTTGTAAGTCCGCAGACATACCGCTGTGGCACTGGGGGGGGGCGTCTCTAATTGTAACTGAAGAAAAATTGTGACGTACTAAATATATTTAATCCACTTTGACAAACATCTGTATGTCTTGTTTACCTTTTCTAACGCAAACAAGGTCTGATTAAAATACAGTGTTATATTTTTACTTTAACAATACTTGTATATTACCCCGAATTTCTGTTCAAAGACGAGTATCTTAACCGTACATAAAAAAATAATTAATTAGATACTTGTGCCCTCAAAAACGACATCAACGTTTTTAAGAATACAGGCAATCGCTTAGTTTCTCCCGGTATGCATGCTACTCCTGTAAGCAGAGATTGTTAGAAACACATAGCCCCTTGCATTAGCTCTCCCCCCACCTCCCCAGTATCTCTCTCAATCATCTCCTCCTTGGCTGCTCACCACATGCTAGTCCTAACACAGAACGAAATGGTGTGTCTGCCACGCTTCTATCGCCTCATCTGCTCTACGTTCAGGGTGTGTAAGTTATCTGGTGATGTAATGGCGACGTAAGCCTCAGAATATCACCAAGGTTTGTACGAGCTACTTCTGCACTGACTCCCCACTTTAATATTCGTCGCTGTGAAAACAAATATAATAGACATTTCTGTAAGAATAATCATGAACTTCATGAAAAATAACTTTCAAGGTTCTACAATATCTTGTATTTAGTGCATGGCTATGTTTTGTGCTTTAATATTTAATTATGATTCATTACGAACATAAATGAAACATTTGACTTTTTAATATTACGACATGCGAAAACGACAACATATTTTAAAAAGTCACTGTTTTTATATTTGATTACGTTTGTATAAAAAGCATAAAAATTACTGTTACACCTATTTTTCAAAATCTACGCCTAAAAGCAACTTTTGCATAAACAAGATCTCAATTCCAGGCAGTCCCGGGAAATCCGGTTGCTTGGAAGAACAGCGGGCGAGCACGCGCCACTTGGCACCCTCCACGGCCAACAGTCACCGCCCTCGGCGACAGGAAGTTGCACACGGGACCCGCCTGTCCCTCAGCAAACCCTCCACCCAACAACCATCCTGGTCATGAAATACCACTCTTGACATATGGTCAGAAACTAAAAAAAAGTCTTAATTATCCAATAGATAACCTCAACCGTCAAAGGTAGAAGAAACACAGCTGATAACCACAAGACAAACTATCAAAAATATGATGCCGCATTTGAAAATTAAAACATGACTGCTATTAACTCGTAAAAAAATAAATTACACGTGTCAACATTTCAAACTTAAGACACGTTAAGACTTAGACATCAACCCAGGAAAACGTAATACGTATACACTAACTTTTCATTATTAACATCCAAATGTATTTCCTGCATTGAAATCCAGGTTGAAAACTCTTATTCTGTGAAATGGGATTTTGCGAGCTTCATTTTTTTGCACCTGTTTTTTTGTTTTTGTTTGTTTCTTTCTTTTTAAACAGGGTTTGTAGCATAAACCATAAAAATTACATATTTAAAGATGTGAAAAATGACAATCCTTATTAGAATGTATGGACAAGAAAATTTACATATAAACCCTATATTTTGATAGAATTTTACTAGTCACTTATATCTACGTTTTTCTCCTATAGTGCAAATTTTTGTCACTGAAAAATTGTTGTTGACAAAATCCAAGGTTGAGTACATGGTGCGTGGATTTTACCATTGAAACTTAAAAACAAAAAATGTAGTTCTGACAGAACACGTGTCAAAATCCGATAGAAAACTGACTTGCACACTTCACTGCTACAGGCTTGTATTGTTGACGCATGCTCATAAAAGGTGCTGATATAGCCTACTCTACACTAGTTATCATAACGCATGGCGTAATTCCACACAAACTAATGAATTGCATGTTATTTTAGTTTATGTTGTATTATAACATCCGGCTTATCAAATGATCTGTTTGATTAAATTATTTTTCCCATTCAACTTCAGCTATAATGTATAATCCTTATCAATTAGCACTAAATAAACCAGATAATTGTGTGTATGATACATATCTTCGAAGTTCTGATTTAACATTTAGAGCACATGTCTTAAGGAGTCTTAACAGTAGTCAAGTGTTTAATACTCCCTCTCAGCATTTACTTACTTTGTTTCGGTGGTATGTTTCAGAATTTCGCGCAAGGCTACACAAGAGCTATCTGCGCCTAGCTATCCCTAATGTTGAACTGATAAGACTAGAAAGAAGGCAGCTTGTCAACATTACTAACCACAACTCTTGAGCTGCCGCTCTTGCCTGATCGAATAGTGGGATTTATTTGTTTGTTTGAAATTAAGCACAAAGCTACACAATGAGCTATCTGTGCTCTGCCCACCATGGGCATCGAAACCCGGTTTCTAGCGTTGCAAGTGCCACTGGGGTGGGGGGGGGGAGGCAGTGGGATTTGACTGTAACTCCTATAGTGCACATAAAAACCCAATGTGTAGTTCGCATTTTGTGGCAACAGTCGCGAACCATGAATCCTTAGATTAACCATCCGGGTACGCTAGCCTTCACACTACCAGCCCATTTACCTACTTCAGATATGGATAATACTCAGATCTATCTTATTCTTTATTAACAAAATATAATTAACAACATGTGGTTTGGGTAATAACACACAAGTAGACATATATATAATAATAAAATACAAAATACTGTAAGTTAGTTCCGGTTACACTTGATTTTACAATTACAACTGCAAACTACAACTGGATAAGCGTGATTATTTACATTTTATGTCTCAATCCGAACAAAAAGTTGCTTCAGCCGCTGTCTACTACTAACATCGTTTACATTTAAAAACACAATTAAATACTTTACAAGAGCCAACTAGTCTAATCAAATAGAATTAATAAAACTAACATTTTTTGGATTCTATCGACAGGGAGTAATTGACTTTTGTGTAATAGATTGAGTATCGCTTTCCATTTATAATAATAAGGAAAAGACAGTATGACTTGTCTTAAAATATCACGGACTTAATCTTGGTTACACAGAGGATATACAGAATTGTCACTACTCCTAACACTAACAAAGTTAGGTCGTTCAACTAGTAATAGTTTCAACACATAGGGAGAAAAATACAATCACTATTTAATAGTGTGCTTCTCCCCCCTCTAGAAGGCGAATCGGCTCAATTATAATCCATTTCTGATGACAACTGCCATTCGCTTCCTTCAGTAAAGTCCACACTAAAACATAGTGAAAAGTTAACACATAAATTTACAAAATATATAAATAACTTTGGCAATTGTCTTCTGAAAAATTTACAACCTGTGAATTTAACTAAGATTGTGGCAAAAGATTTTTAAAAAATGTAGTTAATTTACATTCTACATAAATCATTTAAACTTATCAGTACTTCCACTGCGGTACACAAAAGTCACTTATCGGTATTTCCGCTGAAGTACACAAAAGTCACTTATCAGTCAGTGTTTCCACTAAAGTACAAAAAGTCACTTATCAGAGCTTCCACTGGGGTACACAAAGGTCATTCTTTACCGAGTTAAAAAAAAAAATTCTTACCCAACTTCATATATACATCAGTGACGCTTTGGATGGTATCTTTACCTCATTGAAAACATCACCCACCTTCCAAACAAATAAAGGAAAACAAAAACACTCTGCTAGTCACGTGGTCAATAACAAACAAAATTACTAATAAAAGTTTCCTGAAATATTTAAGTGTTTTAACTTTCTATGCTTTCAAAATTGTCCTAATTTTGTAATATTTGAAAAAAAGTTGTAGTTTGACCTTTTAACTGTAATTCGTAAACAAATATCTGGCTGGTCTAACATTGAAATCTTACTCTCTTTTTTAACCCCCTAGCGAAATTGTAAGTATGAACACAATATTACTTATATGAGCACCCCCCCCCCCCCACGATGAGTCACCAGGCCTATATCGCTAAAAAATAGGCTTCGATATTTGCCAGGGGGAAAAACAGAAACCAATGTGTAGCCATGCGCTTAACAACAAAAGCTCCCATAACCCTAAGCTATGAACAATTTTACGATTTGACCTTTTTTTTTATTTGACAGAACAGTTTTCTTATGACTTGTCAGGTGCTAGAAAATGAAATTAATAATAAAATATTCAAGATCGTCCCAAAACAATTAGTCTATTCATATATATATATATATGTGTGTGTGTCTGTGTAATATAACCTTCTGATATACTAAAGTCAGCCAATTTGCTTAAACTTACTTTAAAACAGTAGCCTAACTCATTAACCTCATATGGAATGCCAAAAGTTATGATTAAGTAGCATAAATCACTAAACGTCAATAGCATTGCCAAAAGACAAAATTAAGTAGCCTAACTCACTAAACATCAATAGTAATGCCAAAAGTTGAAATTAAGTAGCCTAACTCACTAAACGTCAATAAGAATGCCAAAAGTTAAATTAAGTAGCCTAACTCACTAAACGTCAATGAATGCCAAAAGTTAAAATTAAGTAGCCTCAATAAACGTCAATAGAAATAACACAAGCTAAAATTACGTAGTCTACCTCACTAAACATCAACAATACTGCCAAATGCTCAAATTAAGTAGCTTAACTCACTATACATCAATAAGAATGACAAAAGTTAAAATTAAGTAGTATAACTCACTGAGCGTCAATAGGAATGCCAAAAGTTAAAATCAAGTGGTATAACTCGCTAAACGTCAATAAGAATGCGAAAAGTTAAAATCAAGTAACTTAACTCACTAAACCTCAATTGGAACGTCAAAAGCTAAAATTCAGTAGCCTAACTCACTAAATGTCAATAGTAACGCCAAAAGTTGAAATTAAGTGACGTAACTCACTAAACGTCAATAGGAATGCAAAAAACTAAAACGAAGTTGCCCAACTTACTAAACGTCAATAGTAATGCCAAAAGTTAAAATTACGTAGTCTAACTCACTAAACATCAATAGGAATGCCAAAAACTAAACTTAAGTAGCCTAACTCACAAATTATATAGTACTTATTCTATGATAAGTACATTCTTCATAAAGACGACATCCACATTCACCAATACTGCCTTCTTTCATTTTTTTTAATTCTAAGCGTTTTTCTTTTAAACTGCACTGTAGTATTCTCTGACCACACCAGCACAAAGCGCCTGGTGGCTAAATTATATAATAGCCAATTACCAGAAATAATCAACAAATACTTTTATTACTGATCAACACAAATTTTTGTTCTTTAGATTTGTTAACACGAAAACAATTTCAAAGTAATATATTGATATGCTACTAGAAAACAAAACTATGAATGAGAGACTGTTTCTTACCTCTTTGGATATGATGAACAATCTGAACTGCTGCTATTAAGAATCTGAATGTTTATTATTATCAACAGCTGGATTAAAAATAAATCATGTTATAAAATTTTAAAGATATATATATATATATATTTAAAGTATTAGGGTTATGGAAACAACTCACCTGGAAAAGTTCACCAAAATTTTATAGTTGTCTGGACGAGTATTGATGTGCAAGCACAGATTCTCCCTTTGTAAATTAAGGTATGGTTGTCGTTTTTTTTTCCTGACTAGGCTATATGGATATTTAGGTGAATTTGAAAATCTTTCATCATAATGCAATGCCATTTGCTTATCGTTGCTGATTTCAATATTGCGATATTTCTTAATTGCTTGCTGTAATTCTTCCCACGATGTTACGTCACGAGTTTTATATCATCTTGAAAGCTTCATTCAACTGGAAAACAAACTTAAAAGGAAAGCCAAGTTTAACATTTTTTAAACAAACCTTTACATCAGAGGAAAAGCTTTAGAGAACAGAACAGTCCTAGTGAGTGGTAATAGAAACACCAAGATAATAAAGTAAAAAGAAAGCATTAAAGATAGTTCTTATAAGTATTATTCCTAATAATTTTCTTGGTGTGTATGTGTGTGTATATATATATATTTATTTATCAGAAATTATTTGACAGCGTTTGAAAGACAAATTAAAAATTTATATTCGTGACAATACCCTTTAGTTTTTAATATATATATATATATATGTTGATATTCATTTCTTCTAATGGGAAAAATTTTGTTTGTAGCGGGATTTCATCTTTACAAATATAAAAAAGAAAAACTTTATATATGAGAAATCTAAAATTAAACCCCAAAGGCAAGGCAAATAACATAGTTACCCACACTGGAAAATATTTCTTATTTATTCAAAATGTTAAACTATGAAATTCTACTTACGTTTTGAAAAAATCACATAAAAAATTATAATAATTATATGATCGCTTACCAGAATCGGGAGTCAATAGTTTTAAATATACTAATAAGATGACCTTCGATTTTAAAAACGACGTTGATATCACTTGTCTTGAAAGTTCAGCTTTTTTATCATCTTGATATAAGTAAAGGATTACTGACATGATTCTGAACTTTTTCACTATAGTGGAATAAAATAATTAGTTTAAAATTTCGTTAGTGAACTGAACATCTTTTCTACATCTGCAGAATTCTAATCACTCACCAAAAGTATCGTTATCTGGGCAAGCTCATCCAATCGCTGATAAGCACGAAAATAATAAGAAATGAAAAATTGGAAGTAGAACTCGATCCTATTAAGAAACAAATTACACCTCAATAGAAATGAAAAAAATATTTTATATATATAACGAAGTCACATCGTGCGATGTGCTACGTCCACCGAGGTGAATCGAAGCCTTGATTTTAGCGTTATAAAACTATAGAATTACCGCTATCCCAACGGGAGAGGTAAAAAAAAAGGCTATTAAAAATTCAGGTTAAAATTGGATGACACTTAAAATATATTTTCTCAAGCATATTAATATGATGTCTAATATTCAACAGCATATGAGATCTAAGTATATAAATTAAAAACCGTTGCATGACTAAATTATAAAAAAATAAAAATTTAAACAACAGATTGACCCATATTTGAATTCGAAATAGACGAATCTAAATACTTCTAATTTTTTCATGAAAATATATTCTCTTATAGAACGTCTCCCGGTGGGTCAGCGTTAAGTTTTCAGACTTACAATGCTAAAATCCAAGGTTCGTTTCTCTGCGGCAGACAGAGCCCAGATAGCCCATTGTGTAGCTTTGCGTTAAAAAACAACAACAACAGTTCTTATAAAATATGTTTATATAAGAATTTTCACCTAACTGAGCTAATCAGAATAGCCTGACTCTTCAAACTTTAGCTTGATCATATGAGTTAACGTGTTACATATTAAACTCATTATTAGTTTGTTTATAAAACTAGTCCAATACTAGTAAAATAACAAATGTTAACATTTAAGGCGAAATAACACAAATAAAGTTTTTACTTAAATCAAAATGTCCTTGGATACGATAAAAACTAATTGCAGTAAACTTGTAATATTACTTAGTACATGTTTGATTAATAGATCAGTAGTTAATTTTCTAATTATTAACATAAAATGTGTTTAATAAAAACCAGTAAAAACAATTTTTGGAAGATATTGAAACCTTCAATACATTAGCAGATGTGTGTTAGCCTTGTGGTAGAACTCTGGATTTCGGAGCTGGCAAACCCGGTTCGAGTATTCGATATCACAAAATATTCCCTGCACTTTAAGCCGTGGATTTCTTATAAGAGTGACAGTCAATTCCTTAGTGTGGATGGTAGGGTACTGCTGGCTGTCTTTCCTCTGACTAGTGGTTCAACTGGCTGACTGTCTTTCCTCTACCACTAGTCAGTTCAACTGGCTAGTTGTTTTCTTCTGACTAGTAGTTCAAAATTATGGACGGCGGCGGATAGTCTTAGTAGTTTTGCCATAAATACAAATACAAAAATCACTGATGTTAGTTTTATTTCTGTAGCTATACTTAATGCTGTTTGAATAAGATTATAGTTAACGTACGTTATGTATATTGTTTAAATTTAGTTGTACAATTTAATTCTAATGTATGTTGGTGAGTTACAATGTAAACTTAAAAAATAATGTAAAGTACAATATAATGACAATTTCCTACCACATATAATAATACATACACCACAATAAGTGGGAGGAGCGAAAATGCTATAATGATTAGAAATAAAATTATCCTTGATGACAGAACTGAAGAAACAATTTTTTATGAGGAAGAAATAATGCTAGCCATGATTAAATTATATCAAGAGCGTGGTAAATACACTGACGATACAAAGACTAGGAAAAGATAATTTAGTAATGACAAGATTAAGCAGGAAAGACTTGAAAATACGAAAACTGCTGACACGATCTTTGGTGACATGGTGGACAGAAATTAAACTAATAGGGCAGGAAATCCTGATGAAATGAAGGCTACAGACAATTTTTGTAGAGGACTAAGCGTTAAAAAAGTAACTAACTTACAATCGAGGTGCCATTCTAAGCTATGATCGTTATGTAGAGGGTAGAGCTCTCTCCTCTATCCACACAAAACAACCCTGCAAGAACGATCCACAAGAGTCAATGGCTTTTCGTAGGGACACAAATTACCTCCCCTTCCCCAGAACCAGTCGAACGATTAAATTCTGTAGGAGCTGATTCCTTCATGCGCTGCCCCCATTTCCTGAGCCTGAAGGAAAAAAGAAAACCTTCACGTTTCACTACTACCCTCTCTACCAACTCATTCTCTAAAATGCATTGTGTAATTTATGTACTTGCACCACTCAGGCTCCAACACTATTTAATCCCTTCTTTTTTTTTTCACAGTTGTCCCTAACCGAGGGGGAAAGAGAGGCCGTTTGTAGTTGACAGATCATGGACTATGTATTCAAGTTCACAAATGGGGAAAATTATCACATACGAATTGCTTTAGACACCATATTTTCTACACATAATCTGAACTCGAGACATTTCGATTTTAAGTACATTTATGTGTAGTGTGTTTCTGTATGTATGTATGCGCGCGCATGCCATTTGAAAAATTCATAAAACACAGAAACATTCGGCAAGAGACAGAAACATGGCAGATTTTTCTCCACAAGCTAAAAAGAACGGTACGTTGGAAACTACATCGTATGCCAACGCAGGTATTTGCCCAACCGCACAAACACAGACAAGGCTGTAAACGAAAAAGAATTAATCAACAAAACTTCAAGAGGTAAAGAAATATCGTATCTATTTATTTAATTTATCGTTTGTATGTCTTGTATCAAACTCGAATTACAGTGAACAATGTATAGCAACCGTCCATGTGTTATATTACACGTGTTATTTAGCTTCTGGGATAAAACGTAAATAGTTCTGCTTGGTCAAAACGCGTGTATACTTGTTTTTTTTTAATTTCGCGCAAAGCTACACGAGGGCTATCTGCGCTAGCCGTCCCTAATTTAAAAGTGTAAGACTAGAGGGAAGGCAGTTAATCATCACCACCCACCGCCAACTCTTGGGCTACTCTTTTACCAACGAATAATGGGATTGACCGTAACATTATAACGCCCCCACGGCTGAAAGGGCGAGCACGTTTGGTGGGACTGGGATTCGAACCCGCGACCCTCTGAATGCGAGTCGAGCGCCCTAACCACCTGGCCATGCCGGGCCCCGCGCGTGTATACATAGAGTATTTCGTTTCTCATGATTGATTTTTTTCTTCTTCTTTTTAAACAATGATAGTCGATGGCTAATAGTGATAAAAAGTGATTTATTTTACTTTACTAAGACAGAAAGTACTGTACAAAATAACCTAAATAACCCAAAAAAGGATGGTAGATTTTTATATGAGCAGCATATTCAGCAGATGCAAGATAGAAGAGAAACTTGTGCCAACTGGCAAAGAATCTCAACAATAATGAGACACGGCAAAGCTTCCGTTTTATTCACTGGTCCTTTCTACGGCTAATAAGCAGCAAACTGATCAAGCGTTAAAACATTTACTGGTTGAACACTATTCCCACCTGATTTATACACATTCTAGTAAATTTACAAGTTTGTCCTATTACTCACACGGTGTACCAAGTGATTAATACAACTTAACACATACAATATATGTGTTTTTCATGTGCATTAAGAAAAACCCAAGCTATCAAGGTCTACACACTTCGTACTGATGTGATACCGAAAGGGCCATCAATAAAAATTGCTTTTCTCGGGCAGTTAATGTCGTCAAGCGGTGAAACTCGAGAAAGGGAGCAAAGATTTCGTACTCGTCAATTCTAATCAAATAACTATAAAAATATACTTCTTGGTCTATACGTCCCCAATCATTACATTAAATGTAACATAATTCATCCATTAATCAGAATAACACACAAATAAAAAGCTAACTATAGAACCTGAAGGCTAGTTCAAAATCTGCAAACTAACTATAAATAAAGAGAGTATAAAATGCCCTGTTTTCAGCTCTTGAAAACTGAAATTAGCATACAGTTAAAATTCATACCACAGAAACACATTATTTAAAATCAACCATGAACTAGTGTTATTATACTGAGTTGTTTTTTTTTTCATATTATTATTATTTTTATCTTTGGCAAAATATGATTAATGTTTTTTTATAAGAATAGTAGCTCGAAAAGGAAAAAAAAACAAACTTGCCTTTATGATTGCATCTACTTCTCCCTCCTTGTACTATCATGTCCTCTCCATGGCTAAGCTGAATAAAATGGTACTATCACTTCCTCTCCTTGGATAGGCTGAATGGCATAATACTATCACTTCCTACCCTTGACTGAGATTAATGACATGATACTATCACTTCCTCTCCTTAGCTGAGATTAATGACATGATACTATCACTTCCTCTCCTTAGCTGAGATTAATGACATAATGCTATAAATTCCTCTTCTTGGATAGGCTGAATGAAATGGTACTATCACTTCCTCTCCTTGAATAAGTTGAATAAAATGGTACTATCACTTCCTCTCCTTGGATAGGCTGAATGAAATGGTACGTACTATCACTTCCTCTCCTTGGAGCATTATGTCATCCAGCTCAGCCAAGGAGAGGAAGTGATAGTATCATGTTATTAATCTCAGTCAAGGAGAGGAAGTGATAGCATTATGTCATCCAGCTCAGATCACTTCCTCTCCTTGACTGAGATTAATAACATGATACTATCACTTCCTCTCCTTTATTGAGATTAATAAGATGATACTATCATTTCACCACCTTGGCTGAGCTGGATGACATGGTACTATCACTCTCTATAAATATCACTAACTATAAAAGGCTTATTTCCTATGTCACTCTGTCGAGAATGCTTTCACGCTCCTTTTTTGTTTGGTAATGTTCATCAATATACATTGTCGTTTAGCAACAAAACTATCACGTGATTGTTCTTAGGCCAACTACGGTGTTGTTGTAAAGTGTTTTAACTATTATGAGCTGTTATACCGTGGTTTTTAAAACTATTATGAGATGATATAGTGTTTTTTTTAATATAATGGGCTGTTATAGAGTAGCTTTTTAACTATTATGGGGTGTTACAGTGTTTTTTTTAACTGCTATGAGATATTATAATTGTTTTTGATTATTATGGGATGTTATGGTTATTTTTAACTATCATGGATTATTATAGCTGCTTTAACTATTATGGGATGTTATAGTTATTTTTAACTATCATTGGTTATTATAGCTGCTTTAACTATTATGGGATGTTATAGTTATTTTTAACTATCATTGGTTATTATAGCTGCTTTAACTATTATTGGATTTTATAGAGTAGTTTTTATCTATTATGGGATGTTATAGAGTGTTTGGAATAACGAAAATGTTGGGTCTAACAAACATGCACTTTATGATTTGTGAAAATTTTCATACTTTTTGCAATATGTGAAAAACTACAACATTCACACAAAAAATGTGTGCCAAAACGTTTTTTTCCCATCTCATGACGGGTTTATAAACATCGTCGCTTACCAACAAAATTATCACCTGATTATTCTTAGGCCAACTCTGGTGTTTATGTTGAATGCTCTATATTCGTGTTGATTTGTTAGAAAGGTTTGTTTTTTATTATAAGCCTTTTAAAGTTAGTGATTTTTTATAACTTCGGTGATATAACAGCAAAATAGTATGAATTTAATTCAGAGGTTTTATGACATTGATTTGT